CTGTTCAATTGTGATCTACCATGAGTTGCAAAAAAAAAAAAAAAAAGTAAAAAAGAACATCCACATGGTAAATATTCCCCAAACCAGAATGACCTTAGAATGTTTTATTAGAATCATGTAAGATATTTTTTCATAATTTCTTCTTTTCCCCCCTCACGATCACACTGAGAAATATGTTGATACTGCTATGCAAGGCCCGAGATACCAATGCTAGCACTTTGGAACTAAAAAGACAAGGACTGGTATTCATTTTAAGCGTTCTGCGTTCAGTATTCAATATTATACCAACTTCCTAAAATTTTTCCTTATAAAGAGTTTTATTATAATAAACTTTTATTTTTACAACACAGATTTTATAATGCACTTAATTGCATAGTGTGCTATGGCTGGAATGCATTCTCTCACTTTAATAAACAAAACTAAATCTGTAGGTTGTGCTCATTTTATGATGGTGGCAGCAGCAGCAAGCCCTGCTTCTCCAGTTGGAAAATGCCATAAGCTTTCTGAGAAGAGGATGAGACTATTTTTTTTTTAATCACAGTATTTACAATGGAGATTAGAGTAAGTTGTAAGTCAAGTATCAGTGTGACTTAAGAGTTCACGTAGACAATCAAAATGAATTAGCTTTGAAACCAAACTCTACATTTAAATTGTGGGTACTTGGGATTATTTAATCTCCCCAAGCCTGTTTTCTTACTTAAATAATGAGACCAGTTATGAATTTTGTAGAAATAATGATTCTAATAATACAGGCCTGAAATTTAGCAATAATTTAGAGTGCAACACCTCACTTCTACCACAATGCATGCTTTGGGATAAATTAGGAGATGACCTCTCCTGGTGAGAGATGGCAGAAAGGTCTCCTTTATAGACTGTTCAACTAGAAAAGTTGATTTTGCCTCCAGGTGGCCTGAGCTCCAGGGACTGGGCTTGCCAAGCTGAACTCCTTCTTCTATCTTTTTGGCATGTACCTCAGCACAGTGCACAACCAGCATAACTGTGTTTTAACCTTTTTAATATTCCTAGCAATCCCATGACAAAGGTCTTATCTGTTTTCAAAATGAGGCAAAATGGGCAGACAATAGCTGAATAATTTGCCCAAGTTTACACAGCTCACAAGTGCTGAAGCTGAGGTTTGGCACCAGGCCATCTGACTCTACAGTCCATGCTTTTACCAGATTTCTATGCTGTCTCCATATGTCTCAAACCTAATATAAAGGTGAAATATTTCATGAACAAAAGCGATTTATGAATACATACACTGTGCATGTTGTCTATGTCAGAATCATTGGCATTAATCTGTTATTCATTATTGAGTGGCTAATATATGCAAGAGTTTGTGCCCTGAGAGCTTGTTTCTAAACAGGTTCAGATTTTCTGTTACAAATATTTAAATAAGAATTAATGTTGCCTCTGTCTCAGATTTTCAAACCATATACATCTTTAAGAATTTTTTCCCTAGTCTTTTTATTTTCCAAAATAAAACAAACCATGTCCAAATGGAATGCATTCCCCATTACAAAGAGTATAACTTTAGCCAAGCTGTCATCCTGTGTTATATCATCAGGAATATGTTAAAACAATGAAAGAAACACTCTCACCTCATAGTTGCACACATCCATCTACTTGTATATGCATGCCTCACACAAAAGGTTGTTGTAAATAGTAAAAATTGTTTGTGAGTGCATCTTCTGAATTTTAATATTGGACCCCTTTATATAATGCTGCTTGTTTTCTAAAGGTAATGTAACAGATATTTCCATCTTCAGGAAAAAGTTATAAAAATAAAACCATAAAATGATAACAAACAGCAGTTAAAGAATAATGTCTATGATAAATGGTTAGTTTATTAAATGACTGGTAATAAGATTAAATTGCTCCTTTCATGCCCAAGAGATACTTAAAGTAATTGCATCTTTGAAAACTGCACTGTCATCATTTTATCCTTTTGATGATGTCATGGAATAGTTCCATAGGCTGAAATATGCTCATCAGTTTTTCTTGTATCTCCCTTGCTATTATATTATATATTAATCTATGTGCTACTGTTCACCACCCATGAATTTGTAATATTCTGTGGTATCTGCACAAGAAGAAAGCTCTCGAAATCACCCAGTCTCCTAAATAAAACGTGTGCCAGTTTTAATAAGGGTAAATTAACATATGTTAAAGTGTTCTGCAGAAATCTGGAAGTGCCATGAAATACTCCTAATGTCATTTTGCAGCAAAAACAGGTTGGGGATCACTGCTATGCACACTACAAAGAAAAAGGAAAAAAAAAAAAAAGAAACACATTACTTCAAAACACTTCAATTGTTTTAAATTATCACTTGTGCTTCCAATATACCCTCCCAACTTAGAGACCTGAATTTTGAATCCTTCATCTTCATCCTTATGCCTACAAGTAAAATCTTTTTACCTTTGTCCTAAAGAAGACAGCATTACTCACCAGTCACTTCACAAAATTAAATGATTGCAGACCCCACAGATATTCTCTACACATCTGTGTGTAGTAAGAAATTAGTACACGTCTAAGCTCCTAAAAGTAGTTTCCAAGTTAATATCATAAATTTAACAAATAGGCTTTGATTACTATCATCATGCCACATATTACTTTACATATTCATACATCAAAATAAGCATGACCATTGACCTAGAAAAAATACTTCCGTATTACTACTAGATGCCATTAAATCTTATTGGTCAGATTATGATGACTAAGTTGTTTGAAATGCCATTTCTTGCTAAAATATATCCACTTTATTTGTAAGTAATACTCTACACTTTAGAAAAGGTGATGTATTTAAAAATATCGGAAAGTATCTTATTGAATATTTTAAAGTATTAAAGATAATTTCTGTGGAGAATTATTTTGTGTCTATCTTTTTCTCTGGAGTAAGTGATTATTTGAGTATCCTGCATAGAAGTTATAAATCGTTGTACTGAAATTTAACAAATAGAAATATATTCCATATGTGGTCAGTATGTTCCTACTAACAGCCCCAAAGAGACTCACACACTTCAGTAAAGATTTGGTGAATGGTCCCAAGTGGCATGAAAAAATTGATGCACCAATTCAAAACTTACATTGACCAGGTAGAGAATAGATCCATCGGAAACTATTGCTACACAAAAGTCAGGCTTTAGGCTGCTGTGTTCTCCAGCCATTGTGGTTAAAATATATCTTTTTTAAAAATTAGTCTTCAAAGAATAAATGTTACAAGTCAATTTACAGATGGTTAAATTTCAATGTGAATTTTATGACCAAAGACAATTGAATTATTCATAAGAAAAACATAACTAATTATTTTAATATCAAATAAACATCATCATTTATGCTAAATCAAATAGATCATGTTCAGTTAATTAGAAATTTTCCAGATGTCATCTACAAGATGCCTATAAATACATAATAAGAAAACATAACAAAAGGTTTGGGAAAAATTATGTACTCATAGAACACAAAATACACCTCTTCAACAATTTTTTAAGCTCTGTTTTTACTTGAGATATTATTTTGTCTCCCTTGCAAATGTTGAGGCCCAGGAACAAGGTATATCTAAAGGATATTATTTAGGTCAATGAGTGTTTGTTTAAAAACAAAAACACTTATGTTCAAAGCATGGTCTCTGCTGTTCATTCAGTTGCATGAATAATTCTGATAAACACAAAGACAGTCAGATAAGTAATTTACACAATCAGATGAATCTATATAATGAACTTTTGCTTTGCAGCTAAATTAGGGAGGAAAAGGATCTAATGTCACAGATTCTGAAAATTCTGAAAAAATGTAGAGTGGTAACTACACATTTAAGAATTATATTCTGAAACTGCAGAACATCACAAATTGCTAAGGGGAAGATCAGTAACAATTAAGCTTAATATGTCAATGTCTAAAGGTCTGGCTTCACAACTGAATTAGTTGCTGTCATCTGTCATCTATTTGTACATCTAGTGACACCTGTTGTATAGACGTACAAAAGTGAAAAGGACTATTTGTACTTTTTAAGTTTGAAAAAAAAAACCTTTCACCCTCAAAACACATATATCTAACAAATACTGCAATGTTTCAAAGAGCATAGCATGAAATTTCTATAAAGTGTAGTTATGTTCAGCCTTCATGTGAGGCCCTGATCACATTCATCCTAGGCCACTGAGAATATGTATCCTTTTGAAGAGACCTTCCCAAAAAGTAAGGGAGAGTAGATGCAATATAAATTGTTCAACAATAGGACAGTGAGAGTCAAAAAAAGAAAAATCAAAGAAAACCTGGGAAGCTTGCCACTTTTGATTCATTTCCCATGCACTGACTTGACAGACCTAATTGTGCACCTACTGTGTGCCAAACCTGCAACCATTACCAAGTATACCTCGGCCCAACTCCAGCTGACTCCATTTTCTGGGAAGTCCCCAACTTGGAACGAAGTGCGTAAAGGAAAAGCATCTACACACAATGAGCACACTCCAGGTCCCTGCCAGTAGTCCTGCTGAGAACAAAGACTGGATGCTCAGGCATCCGGAGGCGACCCACGGCGAACTGATCTGGTCTCAGAAATCATCCGAGTGAACAAGGTGCAGGGACTAAAATCCAGCCAGAGCCACAGACGGTGGCATTTCTGCGGTGGCTCTTCTGTCTCTGGGTTCCCTCTGCCTCCGCCCTACCCCGCCCCCTTTGCAGGTGCTGAGCCCTACCCTGTGGTCAACTCTCTCACAAAGAAAGTGGAAATCATCCCAGAAAAAGGCTGTGCCGCTCCTGATGAAGCAGAAGCTCGCTCCGCGGCGACTTAAGCAAGCGCTTCACAGAAATTTAAACTTTTCTGCGAGTGTATTAGGAGAGGGAGGAGAATAGCACAATCAATTTCTTCCCGCCTCCTCCCGGACCCTTACACCGTCCAGGTTTCAAACGCCCCGGAGACCCTCCGCCCGAGGACAGGCTGCCCCGCCGCGCCCCGTGGTCCCCTTTCCCAGCCCGTCCTCCGGGGGTACGGCCCCTGACTCACCGCTGACCACCCGGCGGCAGAAGGCTCCGTGGCCGCAGAGCAGCGCGGCGCCCAGCAACAGCGAGACCACGCGGCTCATCGCGGCGCGGAGGCAGCAGCAGGTGTTGCGTGGAGCGAGGGCGGCCTCTGCCTAGGGCGCAGCCCGTGGCTCTGACTCCGCAGCCTCCCTGCCTCCCTGCTGGGCCCTACTCCCGCAGCCGGAGCCCAGCTGCCCGAACCCCTGCGCGCATAGCCTTTGGCCGGAACCTGCCGCCGGCCGCGCCTGTGCAGCGCCTGAATGTGCCGGCTGGAGCCCAGGACTTCGCGGGTGCGCGTTTGGGGATTGAAGTTAGGGAGTCCACTGTGTGTCCCAGAGGCGAAGCAGGAGCCCCGGCTTGGACCGCACCGTTGCGCTTTGCTTCTCTCCCCGGCCTCTGACAAGTGAGAGGATGAGCCGGTGCGCCCTGGTCCTGGATCACAGCAGCAGCCGCCGCTCTGCGCTCAGGCACCGTCTTATATACCCACGTCCCGAGGTTCCAGCCCCTCGCCAGCAATAATTTTTAACTACTTCGTCTCTCCAGCCATGTGGAGCATCCCAGCCCCTCCCCTAAAAACGGGAGCCACTTTGAAAACAGTCCAGTCAGCTGTCCCACCTCCTCTGGTCGCCTCCTCCCTGTCCCCTCTTTCCATTCGCCGGCGGACTGGATACTTATTTGTGTAAAATGTGACAGCTTTGCTATTAAACTCTGGCAAAAAGTTGGATCCATTTGATTTTCTCAAAGATAAATGTCCACGGGGATGCCAAGTTGTGGGGCCTTTCTCTTTCTGTGCTAAATTGCTTGATCATATGTATTGCTAGATGCAGGGCACTAGCCACTATTTAAGACGGATTGGTGAAGTGGGAGCCAAAACCTGCTCAGTGAATTATGTAATGTGGTGGGTTTTGCCCCACCTAGGCTCTGCAAATAGATTACCTCCAAGCAGGTTGTTTGACGAAAACTGCCACAAAAGCAAATTGAAATGAATATTTGAAGCATGGTTTTCGAAACTGATTTCAGTCTCAGTGTTTGCAACTCCAGAGAAAACCACCAATACAAAGTAGACATTCTGAATTCTTGGGAATTTTCTGGATGTAAAATGGATGTATTTCTTTGCAATCATTTATTGGTGATCTATGATTTACATTAGAAGTAAAGCTCATTGGAAAATCTACATTTTTCATAACCTGACCTGCTCTTTAGTAAAGCAGTCTAGGCAAAGACTGTTATGCCTAGAAGTACTGGAGAGAAGCTCATAAGAATTTAATCTATATCAAGTCCATAGCATGAACTCTGAAAATGTTCTCATAATGAGCTTCAGTGGAATTGGTATTTTCTCATTATGTTGCTTTAAATGCATGAGAATGTTATGCTTATAAAATTAAATGCTTTTAATAATTGTTAAATAACATTATGTGTCTTATAAGAATTACACTGTCCTCTAACTTCTTGTTGTCTTTGGTTTTCATAAGCCACAGGTACACTCTAAACAACTGTTTGACTGTTTTATTGGAAAAAGGAAGTCAATACTGACACAACAAGGACAAGTCTTGCAGAATCAGAAATTTCAGCACTTGGAAAGACCTTAAAGATTATTAAATGCAGCCTACTCATGACAGTAGAATTCTAGCGCTATCTGTAGTCCCAGCTACTCCGGAGGCTGAGGTGAGCTATGATCCAGCCACTGCATTCCAGTCTTGGCAACATGCAAGATCCTGTCTCAAAAAAAAAAAAAAAAAAAAGTAGAATTCTAAAATAACTACAATAATATCTATTCTATCACTTCCTTTTTCTTATATTAGCTTTAAAAGCACTAATTTATTGCAGAACCATGGGCAGTTAATAAATTTGGACCTTGTAGAGGCTACGGATTCTGTGACTTTCACACTAGCTAATTACTCACAACAAACAGGCACTGCTGGGATTCTGAATGAAAAATGGAAAATTGATATGCCTCTAGGCAGTAGAGGTATAGCTCAAACCTGGAAACCATGTCAAACAGTATCACTGGCATAGCCATGGTAGGTGAGCTGACCCCAGGGGCTCACAGTCCAGTGTAGAGAAAGAAATATAATAAAATAATTGCTCTGTGTATAAATGCTGTAATGGAAGGGCAAGTCAAGAGTCATGGCCAGCACAGAAGATGAGAAATTCATTTGGAGGTATATTTGTAGGAATTCTCTAGCAGCAGTCAAGGTTGAGGGTGGTGATCCCCATGGCTTCTCCAAATACCTGTAGAACTAGGATTCTGAAGGGATCTCCTTTCCCCTTTCATGCCACCCTACTCTGTTACTCACACAGTCCAGAGCTACTGTAAAAAGGCCCCTCTTTGGGAAAGAATACCAGCATTTTACAACATAAGCACTAGATATATATTCCTACATCATCAGTAGGCTCAAATGTCTCTCATGCCTAAAAAGCTAGCAAGAATGAAGCCTTTTGTCAGGAAGGATCTTCATGGTCTTAGTACTTCAGGAAATCAAAACTACAGTAATAACTATATCTTCAGTGTGGTTGCACAGACTTCCTAACATACAGTTTCTTATCTTTAGGCCAGAATTATATCAGGTTAAGTTGGCCACACTCACTAACTAAGGCTGTTCAGCAGTTATTCTGGATGTTGTTTGACCTATCAGGAAAATAAATTACTGCAGGTTCTTTTTAGATATGATGATTTTAAGGGGACTGGCTGACAAGAACAGCTTTTTTCATTTGTTTGTGTCTCCCTCACTTCAAAACATCTGGATGGGTCATCACTAAGCTCACAGATCACAGTTTGAATTGTCTTAAATATGAAGTGTGAGTGGTACTAGGCATGCTCTTTGGAGAGCACTGGTGGAAATCTCTCTTGGCTTCTTTTTTTGTTTGTTTTTCCATACAGTATGGTAGCGGCTACAAATAAAAAAATTTCAATAAAATTGTATTTTGGAAAAATGTTACAAGGTTATTGGGAGTTGGGGGAATACAACAAATATTCATTAATTTTATTAACAAAGGATTTTAATTTTTCCCTCTTGTGGATATGCATAAGGTATCATAGGAGACATATGTTTTTCTGATGACCTATTCTAGTTTCAAATTAACTGAACAAAATTAGAAGTTTAAAAACTGTTTGCAAAGCAATCAGGAAATTAAGGACTCCCTCTATGGCAAGCAAGAGACTTTTGGGTTATGTGAGGAATTGTGTATGTCTGGAGCTGGATCCCAGATCAGCTCATACCAAATGAGACCATATGACTGACAGTCAGAAGAGAGGTACCCCACAAGTCAAAGTTCTTTGTCAACTTAAAAAAAAAAAGATTCAAATGAGAACTTCAAATTGATTAAGCTAAGGTGCTCAGCAAACGTTCAACACCTAAAATGTATCTCTGTCTATAAGCCCCCAAATCGAAAGATGATTATCAGTAAAACTGGCCACAAAGGAATCTTAGAAATAAGTTGATTGCTGAATTTCTGGAAGCTCTGAAACATCAATAGAATCAATATTTAGAATCCAACATTCTCTAAAGTGACATCAGGACTCTTAAGAGTACACTATGGAATCTGTATATCCCCAATATACCACGAACTCTTCCACTTTCCCCATTCACTTTCAAATGTCTGCAATTCCCAGTGAGCATATGCTTCATGTGCCCATTATTACTTCTCAAGGAAAGACAGCCTAAATTCCAGTCACTGATCTGCTCTCAGTGGCTCCTCACTTGGGCAACTCAATACAGTGGCTTCAACCTAAGTCACAGCAGGCTTCATTAATTTCTGCTCCAGGTCAAAAAGTGGCAAATACAATCTTCAAAGGAGATTTGTTACAATCTTTAAAATTATTACAACTTTACATTAATAAATTTGAGATGTTATCACAATCCAATATTAACCAATTTATTTATTCTATTATACTTTATTTAATGGCAGTTAATGATTCTCCTGAGCACTATCAAATTGCCAGGACATAGAAAAATAAACATTTGAAAGTTTAAAAGGTAAATCATTACTATATAACCACTTCAGCAATAGGCAAAAGTTTCTTTCTTTCTTTCTTTTCTTTTTTTTTTTTTTTTTTTTTTTTTT